CAAATGGGGGTCGAAAAATGACGTTTTTTAAGCAAAAAGCTCCGTCTTCCCTGAACTCCTCTTAAATGAACTCACAAGACTATAACGCTTTTGGGAGATGGTTGGTGGGTTCATGTAGCTGTGCAGTAAGGTTTTGGAATTTCGATTTTGCCCCGGGGGGTCAAATGGGGGTCGAAAAATGATGTTTTTTGTCCAAAAAGCCCCGTCTTCCCTGAACTCCTTCTACATTTTACTCAGTAGCCTAACCAGCTTTTGGGAGATGGTTGGTGGGGTCATGTAGATGTGCAGTAAGCTTTCGGAATTTTGATTTTGCCCCAGGGGGTCAAATGGGGGTCGAAAAATGACGTTTTTTAAGCAAAAAGCTCCGTCTTCCCTGAACTCCTCTTACATTTTACTCAGTAGCCTAATCATCTTTTGGGAGATGGTTGGTGGGGTCATGTAGATGTGCAGTAAGGTTTTGGAATTTCGATTTTGCCCCCGGGGGTCAAATGGGGGTCGAAAAATGACGTTTTTTGTCCAAAAAGCCCCGTCTTCCCTGAACTCCTTCTACATTTTACTCAGTAGCCTAACCAGCTTTTGGGAGATGGTTGGTGGGGTCATGTAGATGTGCAGTAAGCTTTCGGAATTTTGATTTTGCCCCAGGGGGTCAAATGGGGGTCGAAAAATGACGTGTTTTAAGCAAAAAGCTCCGTCTTCCCTGAACTCCTCTTACATTTTACTCAGTAGCCTAATCATCTTTTGGGAGATGGTTGGTGGGGTCATGTAGATGTGCAGTAAGGTTTTGGATTTTCGATTTTGCCCCGGGGGGTCAAATGGGGGTCGAAAAATGATGTTTTTTGTCCAAATAGCCCCGTCTTCCCTGAACTCCTTCTACATTTTACTCAGTAGCCTAACCAGCTTTTGGGAGATGGTTGGTGGGGTCATGTAGATGTGCAGTAAGGTTTTGGAATTTTGATTTTGCCCTGGGGGATCAAATGGGGGTCGAAAAATGACATTTTTTATGCAAAAATCTCCATCTTCCCTGAACTCCTCTTACATTTTATTCAGCAGCCTAATCATATTTTAGGAGATAGTTGGTGGGGTCATGCAGATGTGCAGGTAGGTTTCGGAGTTTTGATTTTGCCCCGGGGAGTCAAATAAGGGTCGAAAAATGATGTTTTTTATGGAAAAAGCCCCATCTTCCCTGAACTCCTCTTACATTTTATTCAGCATCCTAATCATCTTTGGGAGATGGTTGGTTGGGTCATGTAGATGTGCAGTTAGTTTTCGGAATTTTGATTTTGCCCGGGGGGTCAAATGAGGGTTGAAAAATGACGTTTTTTATGGAAAAAGCCCAGTCTTCCCTAAACTCCTTTTTTGTTTTAAACAGTGGTCTTATCATCTTTTGGGAGAGTTCACTCTTTTGAAATTTTGTTAAAACATCAAGGTCAAGGGGTAAAAAATCATAGCATGTTGGGAGCCTCTTGTTATGGGTAATGTTCACTTGAAATGTGAAAGTCAAATCTCTTCTCAATGAAAAGGAAATACAACATTAATGAAAACTAAGTTAAACTTCAAGGTCAAGGTCACAGAGTCAAAAAGTCATGATACATTTTGGAAGGTCTTATCACAGGTAATATGAATGCCCTTTCATTTATCTTTCAAAATGATCAATTCAAAGCAATTAATTTTTTAAGGAAATTAGGTCAAACTTCAAGATCATGGGTAATGAAAATCATAGTGTATGTAGAATGGTATTGTCCCATTTAATACTAATACACATGTTTAATATAAAAGTCCTATCTCTTCTCATTCAAAATATACTACCATGATGACCAAGGTTAAATTTATTGTGACAGATGGGCAGATTGACAAACAAATGAGATTTAATGTACCCTACCTTTAGCAAAAATGAGGACAATAAATGTCTTTGCTGTTCTTGAGAAGAAGATTTATGTTGGAACAAGATGTGTTTGTGAAACACTACGCGCCCGGCGGCAACAAAGTTAAAAAAATCTTCTTTTAGCATATTGATCACAGTCAAGGTCACAAGGTCATTGACCATGGTGTCATTCGAAAGAACTTAATCAGTGGAGTATGCGTACTAAATATGAAGTCCCTATCTCCTATGGTTCAAAAGTTGTGGCAAAAAGTGTAAAGAGCTATTTTTAGCATATCCGTCACAGTCAAGGTCACAAGATCATTGACCTTGCCGTCGTTTGAAAGGACTTTATCGGTGGAGTATGCATATCAAATATGAAGTCCCTATCTCCTATGGTTCAAAAGTTATGACAAACAGTGGAAAAAGCTATTTTTAGAATATAGGTCACAGTCAAGGTCACAAAGTCATTGACCATGGTGTCATTTGAAAGAACTTAATTGGTGGAGTATGCATACCAAATATGAAGTCCTTATCTCTGATGGTTCAAAAGTTATGGCAAAAAGTGTAAAAAGCTATTTTTAGCATATAGGTCACAGTCAAAGTCACAAGATCATTGACCTTGATGTCATTTGAAAGGACTCTATTAGTGGAGTATGCATACCAAATATGAAGTCCCTATCTCCTATGGTTCAAAAGTTATGACAAACAGTGGAAAAAGCTATTTTTAGCATATAAGTCTTAGTCAAGGTCACAAGGTCATTGACCTTGAAGTCATTTGAAAGGACTTTATTAGTGGAGTATGCTTACCAAATATGAAGTCTCTATCCCTTATTGTTCAAAAGTTATGGCCAAGGTTAAAGTTGACAAACAGACAAACAGATAAACAGACAAACAGACAAACAGACAGGACAAAAACAATATACGCCCGGGATCTATCGATACCCTGCATATTTAAATGTAAATTGGTTGAAATTAGCCCAGTGGTTCTTAAGAAGTTAATGTGAAAAGTTTGCAGATAAACAGATGGACAACAGAAATCAGTACATTTCAGAAAACAGTATGCTTATAAATAGTTAATCAAGGTGCTTTGGGTAGCAAAATAAAGCTAAACTGGTATATCTAATTCATCCGCAGAGCTTAGTATATTTCAATATGCACAACCTTTTCAACTCTTATAATTATTTTTTAAAATTTATATCACCATGTCTCATTCAAGGGAGAACTAGAGATATGACCAGATGTATATCTGTTGAATATAAAATATGTACATGTATTCTGTGTTTTTTTTTAGTAATTTGTTTGTTTGTTGTGACAGCAACTGTTATGGCAGCTTTTGGCAAAGGTTGAAGTTTCTCAAATGTAAGTCAAACTCCAAGGTCAAGGTCAAAGGGTCTAAATTGTTGGTATCAAAGGGAAAGTCTTGTCACAAGGAATACAAATGTGAAAAAAGGGAGAAATCCCTAGAACTTCCTCACCTGTTCAAAAGTTATTGCCAAGGTTAAAGTTAAATTGGATTCAACTCTAAGGTCTAGGTCAAAAATAATTATACCTGTTGAAAGTTCACAATGATTACACATGTAAGAGCATGAAAGTCCTAGCACCACCTGTTCAAAACTTACGCCAAGTTCAAGGTATTTTTCTTGTAAAATTGGGTCAAACTCCAAGGTCAAGAGATCAAGAGGTCAAAATTGGTGGTACCCATTAAAAGGTTTTGCCAAAAGAAATTTACCTATGAAATATTGAAGCCATGTGTATAGCCCAATCCACTTAAAAAATATGGGCAAGGTTAAAGTTTCCGTGGACAAACAAAAATACATATACATAGGAAACAAAATATGTATAAATAGTCAAATGAAAAAATTTTCTACTATTATGGAGTCAGAAGATCAATTGTCATTTCAGGTACAGGGAGTCAGTGGCTAGGGAGATCAGACCCCCCCCCCCCCCCTGGAATTAGCAGTTATTTAAATAAGACTATATATGTACTGTAGAGAATAAAAATGACTTTGGACATCCTCCCCCTTAGAAAACAGGGACTCCACCATCATTGTTTTTATTATTATTTTTTATTTCCATCTCAGGAAATCTTGGGCTGATTTTTTTGACTGAGGTGTGACACCCCCCCCCCCTTTCTGAAAAAAAATTCTGGATCTGCGTCTGTTATATACTGAATGTCCGCAACGGGAGATAACTTGACAATGTGAAATTTGTCGACTGTGGCATGCGATGATCTTTGACCATGTTGACCCTTTTTGAACTTCAACCTAACCATTTGCATTTATTTATTTTTATGCAATCTATACTAAATCTTGTACTTACCGAATGTCATAGGTCGTGACAACGAATTCATGAAATATAATCCATATAATCCAATTAAAGCACAAATGATTTTAACTGACCTCACTGCATCGTCAGCTAAAATGTGCTAAATAATCTCATTCGACAAACCTTTGCTGATTCCGTTGCCAGTATGAATTGGCCGAGGTGTGCCGAGAGGTGATATCTATAAATATGATAATGGGTGACGCAAACCCAATGTGAATGTAAAAAATAAAACTGTTTAGTACAAGAACAAATTTCAAACTATCATAATAAACTAAACTATGTTTTTTAAAAAAAGTGAGAGTGAGAGAGAGAGAGTGTGTGTGTGTGTGTGTGTGTGTAGGGGGGGGGGGGGGAGATAGGCATTGACAAATTAATCGGGTTGTATTTTCAATGGGTTTTTTTCCCGACCAAATACTAAAATCAGTTTGCACATTTTGATAAATTCATCAAAAACGCTTTGTACTAAAATAATATTTTATGTCGTTGAGAAAGTAAATTTAAAAAGTTCCAAATTATGGGAAAATTATTTATTTGAATCTAATTAAGTAATTTACTTCAATCATTAATTAAATTCTGTTATTTCAGACTGGTTATGAATTAAGTATTTTAAAATACATATGTGAGGCTCAGATCGAGTTGATATGGTCATCTGAAAATTTTATGTTCAATTTGACGAATACATGTACGGTGATAATTATAGAATTATTTTGACTTCTTCCTTGGAAAGTCCAATATGAATGAGTGTATATTTAGAGGCAAACACCATAGTGCGGGTATTACTGTCTCATGACAGCATCTAGTTACTAAACTGGTCTTATCATTCCTACTAAATTAACAACCTTTCAATTTCCAAGTGTCATATTTTAAACTGTTAAATGTTCAATGCAGCTTTATTTACAAAACTCATCAGTTTTCAGAAATACTTATTTGAGCATTTTAGGTCCTGGTAAGAACAAAATTTAATGAATAAAAATATTAAATTTAATTGTTCATGTATTAATTTCCTTGCAATTTTACAAAATAACCCTTTTAAGAAACTTGTTACTTGTAAGTGTAGACAAAAGCAACCTTCAATTAATACCTTAATGTATACATTTATTTTACTGAAAACAAATTCAAAGATGGACAAACAGAGCATGCACTGCAATCATCACATACACATATTTTCTAAATATATTGAAAACAGCATGTATATACTACCAGGTAGATAGGATGCTGTTAAACATTAAATTTTTTTCTATAATCTATAGACATATAAAAAATATGCATTGGGTACAACAAATCATCATTTCTTTTCCAAATCTCCATTGACTTTGCCATGTCTGGTTCAACATCTTAGCTTGATCCATCCAACTTTCTTTAATATTCTTGAGCTGATATGGGATGACCTCTACTTTGATTGATGGCACAAATCTTTTAAGGAAACACTGAAGTACTTTTTTTTTGTTCTTATCTATTCCAATTAATGACCCAATTGATCTGAAATCATATGTGTTCATTTTTACAATAACATTTAAGGAATTGCATTTTTGGAATTGCATAAGGAATTGGACTGAATTTCATTCACTCAATGAAATGAAATTTCCAATATAATCAATGCAGAATCAATATGAAATTATTGTACAATTTATACATGTAGATTGAATTAGTGAAATGCAAATGCTTGATCAAGAAAATTAATGTTCTTGTCATGCACAATTTGTATTAATTAAAAAATGAGATATTAATTAAAATCAAACCTCATTTAAAAGGTAACTTGAACAATTGAATACCCGTTCCAATAATGTTACAAATATTAGGCCTAAAAAGCAAGGATTTTTTTCATAATTTCTTGAATGAATGCATTTTTATTTTTTGGCAATGTTGGGATATTAGCCACATCCTGACATCCTTGTACCGTTTATTCATCGTTTTTAAATCTGTAGTCAGAAGATCATTCATAACTTTCAGTAAAATGAATAGTTAAATAATTACCTGATGAAAATACTATCAAGAATCAAACTGTCAACATCATCATTGGACATGGTCAAATGCACCGTGACTTTTCTTCCCTGTTCGGACTGCATAAAGCATAATACTTTACAGGATACTCTCAGGTCTTTTCTTTTTTCCTTCCCATTCTCACTTAAAATTTTAGTGTAGTGGTGAAGCGAGAAACACACAACAGCACAATGCGTCGATAACTTCTGATCGGAATGGCCTACAACTTGCCACATTCCGTATCGAAAATAAACAAGTCCTCCTTTATTGGTTCATCCACATGCATCACGCTAATCTCAAAGGCTTTTAAGATTCCTATGCTTTGATTTGTTATAAGACTTTCTCCTGAAAACGTCCTTTGTTTTTAGTCCTAACAATAAGTGACAACAAACATCAAGTATGACAGAGGAAATTCGTTACCGAGATGCTTAGCATCGCAGGTTTAAAGTCGCCTGTTTCAAACGCTTTGGTGATTCGCAAGAGTTATCTCCCTGTTAACGCAAACCTTACCTTAAGTAAGAACTCTTGTGCAGCCGTTTCAGAGTTTATTTGCAAAATTTGTTAATTTATAACTATAGATATTAGATGGTATCCGTGGGATTCGAACACTAGCAATGATAATCCGACGAATCACACTGCGTTGAGAGTGAGACTAACGCGCTAACCATTATGCTTCATGGCTCATAATCACTGCTGGTAAAGTGCGAATCGAGAAAATCTTGGTTTCTGACACCAGCTACTATTGGTTTACATCAATGAGGCAGTTTATGTCAACTAAACGATCAGAAATGATAGAACATTTGATTAAGACGTAATTATTAATGTTCAGTATGGTTTAATGTTGTGCAATTGCTTGTTGGTTGAATACATATAAGGAGCAATCCAGTAACTGCTTTAGATTACGCCCGTTCAATGTATTTTACTAGATTATTCATATTTGCTTTGAACGTGTTAAACTCGATTAACGCTACAATGTTTGTGTTAAAAGTGATTTGGGTATATACTATATGAATCATTTATGATTTCCTAATTCTTTAATATTTTACAAGATTAAAACTTTTGATGCAATATAAAGTTTTTTGATAACATTGCGAGTGTGGTTGCTGTATGTGCGACTCTTGGCACGTGTAATTGCTACGTTTGACTTCTGTTCTGTTTCATAAGGTGCGACGTTTTACTGCTGTATCATAAATGTATTGTTTTCCGAGAAATACATCTAAATTTAATATCGACACATCAGGTAGTGCATCTTTTTATAATAAATCCCCAAAACATATACCTCCAATTCGAGGATTGGTTGCTTCTATCAAATATTAAAAATGTAATGCATATATATACCCCCCCCCCCCGCCAAAAAAATTCTTTTATCTGAAAAAAAATAAAGGATTAAAAAATGCAAACTCACTTTGGTTAGTTTATATTGGATAACATTCTTAACCCCTTCACTTCCGTACCGGTCAAATTGACCGGTGGCGCGTTAAAAGACGACTTCGCGAAAATAAGATCTCCGTATCTATTTTGTGGTAGCATGAAGGTATATAAGCTATATATCATCTTTTTGGAAATTTTCTCTACTTTTAAAATATCTAAAATGATTATATCTTGATTGCCGGTATTTAATCGATTTTACGTTGTAAAGACAAACGAGACTTTTTGAAAATGGCGTAATTTTCCAAAGCGATTGCCGATTTTCCAGACGATTGACAATTTTTTTCCTGATTAACTTTATAAGAAACCATGGTATATTCTTAAAGCATATTTTCTCTACTTTTAAAATATGTAAAAAGTATTGTTATTACTTTAAGGTATATTTTAAAAACAAGAATTTTCTTCCACTTATGTGTTTTTTCTCGATTTTATTCGTAATATTTAAACAAAGCTCAGTTTTACGTTTATTTCTGTGTTGAAATAGGGAAAACAAAATAAAGCTGGTAAAAGTAGAGAAAATTTCCTTTCCAACAAGTCCTTATAGGCCTTCTTACGCTCAGTATTTTCTTAATTACGATAATTTGAATTTGTGACCTTCGCATAGTTTTTATGGAAAAATCGGTCAATATTTACATGTAACGTCAAGGTCGATATTGTTGCGTCTTACTCGAAACAACAAATTCTTTTATAAGACTTTTTTGACCATTTAAAAATATTTTTTACTGAAATGAATGCATAATACAAAAAAAAAAAAAAAATAGATTTCAAAGTACAAATTATACTTTCGTTCTGCCTTTTGTGTTCAGTGAATATTGATTTTTTCATCAACATGTTGGCCCTTATGATGTATTTTTCATGAAGTGATATACAGTATTGATTTCCGAAACGTCGATCTTTACTAAAAAAAAAATAAATCAGATTTTTAAAAATATTGTTGTATCTTGTTATACTGTATACTTATTAATTTGCAATTTAATTAGATCTATATTTTAATAATACAAAAACTCATATTTATAAATAAATACGACTCATCACTGTATGAGTTGATACGAATTGAAATAAACACGTGTTTCCGCTGTGACATAGCTGTAAACAAAAACATGATCCGAAATCTGAACGTCAATTTTCATGATTATTTCACGACGAAGATCCTCACATCAATGAATCAAATAATACGGACATGCCTTTGGTATTAGCAGGTGAGAATACGTGTATATTGACTGAAAAGTTTAAGATTAAAACGCATTAGTTCACGTTCAAAAGAAAACTACATGTACACATGTACTAGATATTATGTTTCAGTGTGCGTGTTTCGTATCGTTCTGCCAATTTTGCATTGTTTTGAACTTTGATGCTTTTGACAATCACTCGTAAGTTCAAAGTAAAATCAAAGTTGTCATAATAATGGATAGTTGTTTTCAGTATCTATGTACCAGTGTGTACATGTACAACTTTCACATTGAAATTTTAGAGTGCTTTCACCATATGCAACAATACTTTCATCTGTGAAAGCCCACCATGAACAACGAAGGTCAATTAATATGTAAGGACACCAATGAACAGGTAAATTTTTGTTTTGGTATTGAAAATTTCTGTATTTCTAAAATTTCAAAAAATACAGTCTCATGATATCGCATTCATACAAGTTTATAAACATTTGATTTATATTTTGAAAAATAAGTGTATTAAACACATAATACTTATGATGCTTGATTTTTCATACAGACACATTATTTAAACATGTAATATCTATCTGAATGAATGCCGAGATATGGAACAAGCTGTTTTTATAGACTGCTGTTGTATTTCCAATCTGCATAAAGTATGTTGTTAGCATTTCCATTTTCTCAATTTTTCAGACACTTTCCAATTCGGGTACATCATATACATGGGTGGTCAAACTCACTGGATGGTTTATCAACACTCCCATGCTCACGAACAGCCTTGCCCCAGGAATTTTGCCCTGAAGTAACATTGCAGTCTATTGTCTCCTTTTTTTTACAACCCTGGCAGCCATGCAGGTATGAAATCTATGAAAGCCATGAAGGGACATAGAATTTTTAAAATTCATAAAAGTAAACCGAGTTCTTGATTTATACAAATCGTTCTCTCGGATTGACAATCTGTTATAACAGATTGCCAATTCATTCTCATGGATTATCAATTCGTTCCCTCAAATTACACAATCCGTTATCTCAGATTGTACATGTATAATTCATTCTCTTAGTTTAAATGATTCATTCCCTTGGAATGTAAACCCTTCCCATGATTTCGTTTAAATTATTTATCTGTACATATTTGATATGGTAATACATGTTTAAAAAATAGAATATTTATTACATATTACGGTCCAAAATGAGAAAAATACATGAACATTTTCAAATCCATGTGCTAGTACTGATATTTGTACAACAAAAAGTCTTAGAGGTTTTTGTGTTACTTGTATATTAGAATAATTGAAAGTCCTAGATAGTAAAAGTGAATATGGGTCCTGTGTAATCATAATATTTCTAAAATAAATATACGTTGAATTAGTTATGAAAGAGGTTGGAAACGACCGGTTGCTGAAACAAAATAAATAGAACGCACTTATTGATTAAAATGGTTGGATGTATCTGTACATATATGTAATGAAATTCAAGAGCACAGATTTCCAAAATCATAAGACTGACGTTGTAACAAATCGAGATGTTGAATTATCAATCTGTGAAAACAAATTACCAGTATGTAATTCGAGATCTCAAATTATGAATCAAGGGGGCGAATTAGTAATCCTTAAGAGCGGATTGTGTAATTCAAGATCTCATATTATAAATCGAGGGAACGTACATTTAGTCATACGTGGGATTGGATTGTCTAATTTGATTCGATATCATTTTTTAATTTTTTGAAAAATTTACGTGTCCCTTCCTGGCTTTCATAGCAATCTAATGCCAAATTTTTTTACATGTTGCGATAGCGTAAACAGAGGTCTGGCTTTAGTCAGTTTGCCATATATGCTATTTGTTTCAGTTCAGTAATTTTACCATGATGGTTTACTACAAGGTTGTTGAATTATCAGTCCTGATACATTGACATAACAATATCATTTAACTACTTGGATCACATAATAGATACAATTTTAATTTTAAAAGGAAAATCAAATAAATGTAGTAATTTTAGCATTCTTAATTTTATTTATAAATATAAATTTATATACACAATAACATGTATCTGTTTCAAAATACTTAAATCTTTTACAGGATAGAAGCTGATCACTTGTACTTGACAGCAAATAATAATGGACAAGTCAAAGAATTTCCTCCAGTCTTACAGAGAAATGACAGTTGATAAAAGAATGGTGGACACAAAGTAAAAGTGCTCTTCAACATTTTGTTGAAGATTTCAGTCTGATTTGGAATTCATCTTGCAATATTTCTGGATTTGTATATTTGGATATAAGCGTCAAATTTTCAACTTATTGACTAAACAGTTTTGCGTTGAATATTGCCAATGCTATCTTTTATTATTATTTCCCTCCAAGATAACATGTCAAGTCTTTATTGTACCCCTTAAGCTCTGTTATACCAGAAAAATCTTGTAATGAAATCATTTAGTTTTTTTTTCTTGTTTGATTAAATCCATGAAAATAAAGATTATTTTTATTGGCATCAAGAGAATGGATTTCTTGTTTAACAAAAAGATAGTATACATTTTTGCTAGGGCTTTGTAAGAAGCAGACCAGAATTCTTTGCTTGCAAATTTTGTCGTTCGCCATTTTTATTACGTCAACTATTAGATGATTTATCCATGTTTGAAGCATTTCAAAATTGATATTTAGTTACAGTTTAAAGCAGAATTCTGTACTGATATGACCTTGACCCCCTGAAGAACAAGAGTGTCAAGGTCAATTTTTAATACAAAAATGTTCTTTCATCTTTATGGCCCATATCTTACAAACAATATGATGAAATATACAAAAAGTGTCTAGTATGTGTCCAGAATGTGAAATAACAAACATGTATATAGCCAAA